GGGAAAAACCACTGGATGTTTCAGTTGAGAGGAGAATGGAGCCAGGCAAGACGTTTTGACAGTGTTTTTTTTTTGTTTTTTTTGTTTTTTTTGTTTGGACAGCTTGGTGTTGCTCTTTTGCTTCTTTGCAATTAATTTTTTATTTGTTACTATTATTATTATTATTATTGTTTTTCTTAAACTTCCAGCCAACAAGTTCGAGGGCTAAATTCTTGAGCTCCGCTTCCGACCTGATAATCCGGACTCTCATCGATTATTCGGTGACCTGTATTCCTCAAACAAGCTCCTTCTGATTTTTTAATTATTATTAGTTTTCTTTGACTTTTTTTTGGGTGTTGTCAGTGAGTATATCATTGTAGCCCAGTGATCTTTCCGCAGCCAGATGGAGTCGAACCGGTGACCTCGCCCATAACAAGTGGATGCCTTTACCACTGCAACGGTGATCCGATGTTGTTCAAAACTGAAGCCATACCGGTCGTGGCATTCAGCCAGCCCACCCCAGCACTGTTGCAGGAAGGACTTACTCGTCAACACACGACATCCATGAGATCCTCCGCAGGCAGCAGCATCCACACAGAATCCAAGACCCTTCTTTGTGATTTCTTTCTTTGGTTCATTTATCTATTTATTCATTTCTCTTTCTGAAATTTCCAGGCAGCAAGTTCAAGGGCAAATTTCTTGCAGCTCCGATTCCGACCGGATGATCCCGACTCCCATCCGTTATTCGGCGACCAGTATCACACAAACAATCTCCTTCTGAAAATCACGAGGCGCAGGAAGAAGAAGAAGCAGGCGCGATCCATCCCGACGCCCTCATCGATCCCAACATCATCGTCCATCCAGACATCGTCTTTGGGGAAGGAAGCACCAGCCGAGGCCCAGCCGCCGCCACGTGGGTCACACTTGCCTCGTGGCGGGTCGGCTTTTGTGTTGGCGTCAGCGTCCGTGCCATCTTCCCTTGCAAAGCGCCTCGCCGAGGGGGGAAAGGCCTCGGAGACACGTGGCGGGGAGGCTGTGACGTGGAACACTGGAGTTTTGTCCGATGGCGCCGGAGCGGCGGCAGCCCCCGCCGGTGCTGGTGCTGGCTGTGCAAGTGCTGTCCCAACCGACTCGCCCTATGCCCGGCTGGGATCGCAGCAGCTACCCGTGGGCCTGGGTCCCGATCCCAATCCTGGTGTAGATGGAGGGCTCGGGTGGAAAAGAGAGGGGGTGGAAGATCGCTCCAGGACGGATGACCCTTCTGGCGATTGTCAAATGGCGGAAAGTAATGAGGATGACAGCATTGCTGACATGGATGTTGAGGACGACGGCGGGAAAATTACGATAGAGGTGATTGCCAAGCTGGAGGCTACGTACCGATTTGATGGTAAGTGGTGGGATTTGCCTGCGAGTTCTTTTATCTTTCTTTCTTTTTCTTATTTTTATTTTTCGGAAGAACCCTGCTGTTATTTCTGTCCCCCCCCCCCCCCCCCCCCCCCCCCTCTCTTGAGTGTGGAATCTACTGTTGATGGGTAGTCTATTTTCTATTGTTCGACCAATGTAAGTTATATTAGCAGGTATTACGGTAAATAGTAAATATTGAAACGGTATTCACCAATTCGTGGTAGTTGAGACAGATCCCAGGGCTCGATCCCTAGTTCCCCAACTTACCTGTGTACAGTATGGATGTCA